GAAGGGAGGGCACCCCCTGCCCCATCCTGCACCCCCAGCTCAGCTGGGGGGGGTTGGCAGTCAGATCTGCCCGCTGGGCTTGTGGCTTTGATGTGCATAGCAGGGTCACCATGTCAGCAACTACTGTAACAGGGATGCTAAGAAATCCTCTCATACATGAGCTACACTTTTTTCTTTTCTCCCTCCCTTTTTTTTTTCTTTTTCTTTTTGTGAGGTTTCTTTGTATTTAATTATCAAATTGCAAAGTATTTACATCAACATCAGAGCTTCAAAGCATCTCAACCCCTCACCACCCACAAAGCTGTACCTTTTCAGGTTGGGGTTTTTTGTTCCAAATTTTTATTATTATCCAAAAAGAACAACAATGACAACAACAACCAAAAAAAGAAAAGCTAAATATTTGACACTGAAAAAGGCAGGTGGGGGGAATGGGGAGCTGGGGAGAGAGAGACACACAGACCCACATGTTCTCTGCATAGTTGGTTGGAGATCTTACAAAACACTTTAAAAAAAATGGTGACAGCAGAGGAGCTGTGGGGAGTTATTGATCCTGGGAAGCCAAAGAGGTGGGGGCTCCTCTCTGGAGTTTATTGGCTTAAAAAATAAATTGGCAGACAACAACAGTGACAGGAGAGGCTCTCAATCCACAGGGCCTCCTGGTCCCACCAAACCATGGACACATGGATGGACACGTGTGCAGGGGGGCTCCTCAGGATTGCTTTCACTTCATCAGCCCATCAAAAGCCACAGGGAATCAAGCCAGCCCAGGGTGTTCCTTGTGCTGAGGGTCTGTTCCTGCTCTGCCATTTGCTGGAAAGAGCCAGAAAATGAACCCACTGGTTCAGCCTGACCCCATCCCATGGTGCTGGTGCAGACCCTGTCCCTGCTGCAACCACAGGCCAACCCTTAACATGTGCACTTGCCTTCTCTCTCCCCAGCTCTCAGACCTCATCTGGCTTCCACACACTGCAGTTGGAAGAGGTTTGTCCTAGGGATGGGAATTCTGTGTAATTCATGGCACGGGCCACCCCTCAGACCGGCTGCTGTGGGATGGGGATTCTCTGGCAGCACCAACAGGGACACAGCAGCCACCAAACTCAGGGATGCAAAGTTGGAAATACCCAGAACACTGATATTTGCTGAGTCCCCACCCAAGCACAGAATTGCAGGCACAGCCACTCTGCTAGAAAGGAGGGATGGGGGAAGGAGAAAAGGCTCCAAGTCCCAAAATTCTTTAAAAAATATCCATTAAACCAACCACTGTTCTTCCCAGCCAGCACAGGCAGGATCTCCCTGTACCACTGAAGCTCCCATCCAAGCTGATTTTGCAGGTTTTACTCATTAGAAAGGAGCCACCAACCAACCTTGCACTTGGTTTGCACTAAGCAGCCAGGGAGCTGCAGGAGGCAGTTTGTGTTTGGGGAGGGATGAGGGTTTCAGCCAGCCCCCTGCCCCTGCTCAGCTCCCACCCGGCTCTCCTGGGACACTGGCACAGTGGGGGGTGCTGGTGAGGGGCAGTTTGGACCTGCTGTCTGCAAGGAAGATGTGCTGGAGGGGAACCCCATTCCCACAAGCCATGGGGAGGCAAGGAAAACCCACTGCCCCAGGACTGAGAGGTGGGCAAAGCTGCTGGCTCCCCTTCTCCAGGTCCCTGCTGGGGGTGTGTGCTGTGCCAGCACCACCCCCAGCCCCTTCCACCCCCCAGTCCAGGAAAGCATCCAAAGGACCTCCAGGTCTTTATGAGCAGGGGGCATTGCAGGGCCCAGGACCTGGAGAGCTGAGGGAGCAAAGCCTCATGAGCCACCATGGCAAAGGGTTTCCAGCCTGGTACAGCTGCAGGAGGGGGGGAAAACCAACACATGCAACTAAGTCAGGGCTTGGGGGGCGTGGGGGCTGCTTGAGGGGTATGTACAAGGCAGGCACCAGGCAGGAGAGTGAAGGGGTTGGGTGCACAGACAGCCACCCACTGCCAAAACCTGGCAGAGGGCTTGGGGAGTGGGTGGGGGGGGAGGTGAGAAGGCAAATGTCTCCTGTCTGGCACAGTGCTTCCCACGATTCTCCTTTGGGATGACAGCCTGTGGCTAGGGGTGATCCCACCACCACCTGGGCATCACAGCCCAGCAGCCGAGACACGAGGGGTGGCAGGTGGAAGGCAGCTAAAAACGTACCGTGTGGACAAAAGCATCAGTGAAAGATGAATTATTTCCCCCCCGAAAACACTCCCACACCATGAACTACCACCCGTGCCACGCACCGAGCCCTGCGGCAGCACCAGGTTTGGTGGCAGGGCCAGGCAAGGGGACACTGCTGGTGGGAGCTGGGGAGGGTGGCTGGGGGGCTGTGGTGCTTCCTGGGGGGCAGCTGGAAGACCAGGAGCACTTGCTGGGAGAAGGTGCAGCCAGGGCAGTGGGGCTGGCCACAGGTAGGGCAAGGGCTCTGCCAGCACCCCCTGTGCTGCTCCCAGGAGAGATGAGATGGGTCCCCTGGGGGGACAGATGCTGGGAGCCTGGAACGTGCACCCAAGTGTTCCCATGGGGCAGTCACCAGAGCCACGAGCAGCCACGTGTCACACCTCTGGTGCCTGCTGGCACAGCTCAGCCACAGAGCCCTGCCACAAGGGCAGGGGGACACCCGAGGAAGGGGGGCTGCTGGCATCCCACTGCCACCCACCCCGGCA